TACCCTTGATTTTGCCCTTTTTTGTTACAAATTCATCTTACCATTTGATATTCCATTTGTATCCAGTCGTTTTTTTCTCTCTTCTTGCTGTTGCCTCAGTTTCTACATTATTTAACACAATCGTCTCACAATGTCTTGTAGATTCTTTCTTTCATATCAGTGATACCATCTACCATGTACACTGCACTGCACTTCAATGAGCTTTTTAACTTCTCAATTTGCCTTTTTTTTGTGAATCAGTTGAACCTGCTCCAGAGGGGTGATAATAATGTCTCTGAACATTTAAAAAGAGAAAAAAATGTCTCTGAAGGGGTTGATAAAGAAAAATGTGGATTCTTTTTAGGCAAAACTAACCAATCGGAAGAATAAAAGAGCCATGATGATCAGGGGTTAGGGATAGTATTAGATCAAGGAAATAGACTTATAAAGTTGCAAAAAATGTTTTAACTCTGAGGAATGGGAGAATTTTAGTATTCAGCAAAGGAGAATCAAGAAATTGACAGAGAGAGATGAATGTAAAATAAGAACAAACATAAAAATGGATTGTAAAGACTTATACAGATATGTAAAAAGGAAAAGATTAGGAAAGACAAATGTGGGTCCATTACAGGCAGAGACAGGAGAACTTATAATAGGAGATTGCAAAATGTCAGAGAAGTTAAATAAGTATTTTGTGTCTGTTTTCACAGAGGATGACACAAGAGATATCCTTGAAATAATTCAGATCCAAAGGTCTAGTGTGAATCTGAAACTGAAGGTATTGGTGAAAAAGAGAAATTCATGGGACTGAAAGTTGACAAATCCCTGGGATCCGATGACCTCCCCCTCAGAGTGTTGAAAGGGATAGCTACAGAAGTAATGGATGCTTTGGTGATCATCTTTCAAAATTGTAATAATTCTGCAGTGGTGCTTGCAGAGCGAGAAAGGTATCAAATGTAACTCCACAGTTTAAGAAAAGAGGGAACGAGAACACAGAGAACTAAAGATGTTAGTGTGAAATCAGATGTAGGAGAAATACTAAAATCTATTTATTATAAAGGCTGTGATTACTAAATATTGAGAAAATAGTAGTCTGATTGGACAGAGCCAACATGGGTTTACAAAGGGTAAGTCATATTTGACAAACCTGATAGAGATTTTGAGCATATTGATAGGTGAGTTGATAATGGGGAATCAGTAAATATATGGTATATTTAGATTTTCTGAAGGCTTTTGATAAAATCCTGCAGAAGAGATTAGTATACAAAATTAAATAAATTGCATGGGATTTATTGAATCCCTACAGTGTGGAAGCAGGCTATTTGGCCCATCAAGTCCACACTGGCATGAATTGAAGATTGGTCAATAGGCAGAAGGTATAGAATATGAATAAATGGGTCATTCGCAGATTGGCAGGCTGTGACCAGTCAAGTACTATAAGGATCTGGACTTGGCCCCAAGTGTTCACAATCAATATCGATGCTCTGGAAGTAAGGAACTACTGTTATATTTCCAAATATGGAGATGATACAAATCTTGGTGGGAATGTGCAAAAACTGAAAGAGCTGTGGATGCTATAAGTCAGAAACAAAAACAGAAATTGCTGTAAAATCTCAGCAGATCTGGCAGCATCTATGGAGAGAAGTCAGAGTTAACGTTTTGGGTCCAGTGACCCTTCCTCAGACCCAAAATGTTAACTCTGATTTCTCTTCACAGATGCTGCTAGACCTGTTGAGCTTTTACAGCAATTTCTGTTTCTGTTGGTGGGAATGTGTGTTGTAAGGAAGATGCAAAGACACTTCAATGGGATTAGACAGTCTGAGTGAGTGGGCAAGAACATGGCAGATGGAATATAATGTGGATAATTATGAAGCTACGCACTTTAGTTGGAGGAACAAAAGTGCAGAGCTTTTCTTGAATGGATAGAGATTGTAAAGTAGTGATGTATAAAGGACAGTTCTTGTTCATAGGTCACTGCAAGTTAGCATGCAGGTGCAGCTAGCAATTCAGAAGGCAGACAGTATGTGAACCTTTATTACAAGACAACTTGAGGACAGGAACAAATCAGTCTTGTTTCAGTTGATGGAGTGCTTGTGAGACTGCACCTGGAGTATTGTGAATAGTCCTGGTCCCCTTGCCTAAGGAAGGACACACCTAGCACAGAGGAAGTGCAGCAGATGTTCACCAGACTGATTTTTGAGATAGTGGGACTGTCCTATGAGGAGAGGATGAGGACACTGTGCTTGTATTTTCTGGAGCTCAGGAGAATGAGAGATGATCTCATAGAAACTTACAAACTTCCTACAGGGACAGACATGGTAGACACAGTAAAGATGTTTCACCTGGCTGTAGAGTCTAGAACCAGGAGACACAGAATAAAAGTCAAATAATTTAGGGCAGAGATGAGGACGAACTTCTTCACTCAGACGGTGATGAATCTTTGGTAATTCACTACTCGAGAGGGCTATGAAAGCTCTATCATTAAGTGTGCTCAAGATCGAGATTGCTAGATGACCAGCCCTGATCTAGAATGGTGGAACAGGCTTGAGGGGCTGAAAGGCCTACTTTTGCTCCTAGGCTCTCAGGGCTGGCCTTCTCCTGCACTGTTGAAACTAACCAAGTGTGGGAACAGCAATGGGAAGCCAGCTCATTGTCTGGCATCACTTTTAACAAAGACTTTCTCAGGATTTTAAACTGCAGCCCACTGGTCTATTTTAACTAATACAAATGCTATTTAGTTGAGAAATAAGTTGGGTTCATGATCCATTCTCAGATTCAGTCTGAATTAAGCAGCCATTCTCTCTTGGTCTAATGGATATGGGAATTCGTGTCTGCTGAGCATAGTTGTAGAGGTGTATCTTTTTGTAGCCTCATGGGAGAAAGATTTTGTTTTTCTTTCTGAGTAATCTATGGGGAGAGGTGGCGCATAGCATGATGGTCTATTGATGGAGCATTTGCATTTATTTAATAGCTGTGCCAGTTGTAGCTGTATCTCTGCTGATTTGTAATGGGTGTACATAATCCCTCAAACTTAAAACATAGAACATGGAACAGAGAACTGTACAGCACAGGAACAGGCCCTTCGGTCCACAATGTTGTCCCAAACATAATGCCAAATGAAACTAATCCCTTCTGCCTGCCATTGGTTGGTATCCCTCCATACCTTGCATATTCATGTGCTTATCTAAAAGTGCCTCAAATACCCCCCTATTGTATCTGCCTCCACCACCACCCCCTGGCAGTGTGTTCCACACTCCTACCACACTCTGTGTAAAAAACTTGCCCCTCACATCTCCTTTGAACTTTCCCCCCTCACCTTAAATGCCTGCCCCCTACTATTAGACATTTCAATTCTGGGGTAAAAAAGAGATTCTGACCGTCAACACTATCTATACATCTCATCACTTTATAGACTTCTATCAAGTCTTCCCTCAGCCTGTGCTGCTCAAGAGAAAGCAACCTGGATTTTTCTAGACTCTCCTTATAGGTCATACCCTTGCTGATTATTTGTTCTGGGAAGGGGGTTTTTTACTAACTCATTCACGGGTTGTGGGCATTGCTGGCCAGACCAGTCCCTCCCCTATTGCCCAGAGAGGGATTAAGAGTCAACTATTTAACTGTGAGTCTGGAATCACATTAGACCAGGCCCGGTCAGGTCAGGTTGGCAGATTTCCTTCCTTAAAGGGCATTAGAAAACCAGATTTGTTTTTCTGACACTCTACGGTGGTTATGTGGTTATCACCAGGCGAGGTTTTAATTCCAGACATATTTACAAAATTCAAATTTCAACCACCTCCCCCAGCAGGTTTCAAACTCTTGTCCCTAGAACATTAGCTGGGGGACTGTATTACTGGTCCAGTGACATTGTCACCATGCCCTTCCCTTAGGTCTGCATCTGATTTTTGTAAATCTTCATTTTTATATTATCTGTGAGAAGAAACTAGAAAATCCTGAAAGCTTAAGTCCTAACATAATAAAGTCTCCATATTAAAAAAAAACTTGTGGAAAAAATAATTAAGTGATCAACACAGAAAAAATAGAACTCTAAAGTGTCCTTGTGAAGATGTTATCATAAACACAGAGATGTGCTCGGGTAGTTTTCAATTCCCAAGAGAAAATTATTGCTTACTTACAGGAGTTCACATATTGAGATCAGAGAAATAAATTTAAAATGTCCAGGAGTATAATCAGATAAAAGAATGCTGGCAAATGGGACTAGATCAGTTTAGGATATCTGGTTGGAGAGGACATGTTGGACCAAAGGGTCAGTTTCTGTGCTATATAACTCTATGGCTTATACTGGATTATGATTGGAAGACTCCGCAGAACTACACAGTGCTCCCCTGTCATTATGTCGCTGAAAGTGGGATGAAAATTGCATTAGGTTGCTTTTTGCAATGATTGTCCCACATGCTCTGGCGGCGTGTAATAACATCTCTGAGCGGGTTCTTTAGGAAAAAAAATCTTCCCAGAGAGTAGACTAATCATTTTAGGGCAGCACAGTGGCTCAGTGGTTAGCACTGCTGCCTCACAGAGCCAGGGACCCGGGTTCGATTCCACCCTCCGCGTGTCTGCGTGGGTTTCCTCCAGGTGCTCCTGTTTCCTCCCACAATCCAAAGATGTGCAAGTTAAGTGGATTGGCCATGCTAAACTGCCCATAGTGTTCAGCCATTATAAATGTGGGGTCATAGGTGTAGGGTTGGGATGCTGGGTCCAGGTTGGGTGCTCTTTGGAGGGTCAGTGCAGACCTGATGGGCCAAATGGCTTCTATGTACACAGTAGGGGTTCCGTGAAGTGCCAAGTGTAGGTATGATATGTCCTAAGGAAATAGGGGAAAATGAAGCAGAATTTTGACACTACTATGAAATATCATTGACATTGGTTTTGGAATAAGTAATACATTTTTCTTGATTTTTGTATCATGTTGATGGGTGGAAGGACATAATAACTTACATTTGATGGGATGATATTTGTCAATGATGACTGAACATGCTCTAATTGCCCTTCTTTGGTTCTTGCAGCTTGACCCAGAGAACACTGGTTTCATTGCTGTGGAGCACTTTTCCAATCTGCTTCAGAGCCATGAACTACAGCTGGACCCCACCAAACTCGAGATGCTTTTTGCTCTTGTGCAGAGCAATGAGCAGGGCCAGATCTGCTACCACGAGCTCGTCAACCTGGTGAGTAACTGGCATGTGCAGGAAATTCGGCACTGTGCCAATGTGGGGATAATGAGAGGAATTCTGTAAGGTTTCCTCCAGGGTGATGGGAGACCGAGATGTGAGGCTGTGTAGGAATACTGATATGAGATAGGGTAGTGAGATACTGGTCTGCTCAATAATAACCAATGTCCATGTGAGACATGGTGTGGAAGCACCGGTATTGGACTGGAGTAGGCAAAGTCAGAAATCACTTGCCACCAGGCTATAGTCCAACAGGTTTATATGAAAACACAAGCTTTCGGAGCCTCAGTCCTTCTTCAGATGTCAGTCCTGAAGTCCTGAAGAAGGACTGAGGCTCCGAAAGCTTGTATTTTCAAATAAACGTGTTGGACTATAACCTGGGGTCTTGTGATTTCTGACTTTGTCCACGTAAGACAGGCAGGACAGTGCATTGATATCACTCTAAGTTAGATGTGAACGTACTCTACCAGGTTATGCAGTAATACGATAAGAGAAATGATACAGGATATAATTATGTGAGACTGAATTTATGGATAGTCCAGTCTGCATTGTCTGACTCATTGTTTATTCATCATAAATGCATTGCTGTCATTTCAAAGACAAGAGAATGAATAGTTGATTGATTCAATGAATTAAATTGGTCGAATTTGTTCTTTTCATGATATGGAATGAAATATTATGCAATTCCACAAGCTGTCTGTAATTCTGGCAGAAGCATTTGATCCAATGAATTGAAACTATGGTTTTGTATGAAGGCTCCACTTTCTTTTCTTCCTCGGGATCCTGACTGCACTGTGGATCTTGATAGTTTAGGAACACAGTTTGCTGTTGAACTTGTCACTGGTAATTTGCTACATGTGAAAGGGTGGATGGAGAGAAGGCTGCAGAGGTAGCTAAATATAATGAAGCCTATGGATGCATTACCTCATGGATTGACCTATATTTCAGAGATTTGAGAGTGAATTCAATCCTGCAGGATTCAAAAATGTTCCAGTGCTGGTTGTAGAACCTCAACCAAAATTGTTTTGCAAATAGCACAGTGCATGTACCAAATGCTTCATCATGTTCCAAAATCAGAAACCACACTGCAAGCCCTGGAGATTGTTCAAGGATCATTGGCAATGAAAGTGTACTATTTGTAAATATGGGATAACACATTGGTAGGCACATATTTAACAGTTTCCCCTGTCCTATCTTAATCCTACAAATGTCAAACTATTGCACTGGTCAGCAATTTACCAAAGTCAGCGCACTGAGGGAGAGAGATGTGTTTTCTTGTTAATGAAGTGTGCGGTATGATCAGCAGTGTTCCGTTCTAAAGTTTATGCATGGGGATTGGATGAGATATGTAGGCCCATGAGTAGGAAAAATAGCAGTCGTTTCTTTTTGTAATATAGATTGGACCATCCAAGGAAACCTCATCATCTACTTTGAAGCAGGCATAGGATTGGACACAAGAAGTTTTATACATTTCTGAGAAACTAAAAAAAAACATAAGTAAGGATACCTTCTACTTTGAAAATTGCTGTTACTGCAAAAACACTTAAAAACATGCACTTTCATTAAAATTAGGGATCTTAGTTATGTTTACTGTCTATCTTATGTATAAGTTAGTGATAAGTGGTGAAAAGATAAAGCTAGTGGGCAAACAATTAATGACAAGCTAGAAATTCTGGTTGTTGTCCTGTGAATCACTTGGTGAGTTTACTGTGTTCACAACAGCAGCAGTGAAAACTATTGGGGATACCTTTAGAGAATTATATTTCCACTTTAACCCCACAGTAAATCTGCCATTGTCACGGTTAAAAGGTCAGAATACACTGCCCAGGTGACTATTGCAATGTATACATTACGCTGTAGGCACAGTAAAACGGGTTAGCAACACACAACTTCTATCAAATGGGAAGAAACATCCAGATCAAGTGGCAGATGAAATCAGCATGGCATTAAAGGTTCTATTTGACTACTTACTCAACATTTCCAGTGGGGATTATTCTATGATTGTACAGAATTGCCACATACCATCCCTTTTCATCTCAGGCATACTGGAGAAATATATAATGTTACAGCTTAAGAGAATTTTGTTATGGTTCATGAGGCCATATTTTGTATGCAGGAGAGTTATGCTACTATCTTGCCATTGGATGTATTTGGAAACCCAGGTCTTCTGGCTGTTTTTGTAAGGTCGTATAAAAGTATTTCTTGACACTGTCTGCTCATGTGTTGGGGTGGTGGAAATTTCATTGACTGCCTGGGTTACTTCCTTACCTTCTTCTCTGCCGTCCTGATGTTTGGTCTCTAAGAGACATTTCCTTCTTGTTCTTGTTTCACCTGAGATTCTGGAATTCCGTTCACAGCTGTAACCACCAAGAGTACAGATTTTCTTGAGTGTTCCTTTTGTTGTCTCCATGATAATAATTGACTTCAGTTGTAGCCTTTATAAGCAACTACAATATTTTGCACATCCCAGACTTTGGAGGACAGTGGTGGTATAACCATCAAGATGAGAAGAAAATGTTCTAACTTGCCTTCTGCAGGAAAATACCCTGGACCAATGAAAATGGAATGGAGTTACATACATGCAAGTGAAAGTTTCACTTGTCCTCTGCACTGAATTTTCACAATGATGGATGACTTCTGGGGAGGGTTGTATTTTGCACATCCTTGGTTCACAGAGGCAGCTGCCTTCAGTAATGTCTGACTTCTGCCAGATAGAAGTGGGAAACAAAATACATGCAGATTAGGCCTGTTAAGAGCAGGTTTGAACTTTGTGATGTTGCTTGGATAGAGAGGTAAGGTACCCTTTTAGATATAGTCCAGGAGCACCATGAGGGAGGACCATGTGCCATTTGGATGAGACACAGTGCCCCTAAGGGATTGTTAAAAGTTGATGGGAAGCTATGTAAAAATGCATAAACTCACTGAAGCTGTCAGAAGGAGCTCTCAAGCTTTCAGGTTATTTAAAACTACAGCCCTTTAAACATTTGAAAAACTGCCTGCAGTGTTAAAAAGGATCAGTACTCACTATTCCATTTTGTCCATAGTCATAAGCCTGAGTGCTACCATTCCTGGACCAGTGCCCTATAACTGATTTCACGGCCTATGGTATTACAGTGAGATTCTGCACAGTTCACAATTTATTAGGCAGCACCAAGATGTTGTACACTCTTTGATGTGGGCTATGAATTCGAACTGTGAATTTCCTTGTTTCATTAAGGGATTAAAGGCAGTAAAATGTGGTGGATGTGTTGTTTGTTTTGAAAATAGTGAATTCTTCAATACACGCTTAAGAATTTTATCTTTCACAGCTTTGGTACTGGAGCCTACTGGGTGAGATGGTATGGTAGGTGTACCATAAAGGGTGATTGTGGGGTGTATGGGTTAGTGTGGGTTGACGCTAAGTTGGCATGAAGACTTTAAACGGTAATGGGGGGTTAGGCACAGGGGCATGGAGTGTATGATGATTATATGGACTGGGTAGGTCATATACAGTGACATGGGCTGGTGGAGCAAGTCTGTGGAAGCGGTGAGCAGTGCAGGGTGTTTTTGTTGTCTTGCCTTTTTTTAATGTCTTTGACAAAGTGCCCAGCCTATCTCCAGACTAGACAACCTCTGGACTGTTTCCAGGGTTACCTACTGCATTCCCATTCCCTTTCCTTGAACCAAAATTAGATCTCCCATTTGGGAGAGGCTCCTTCTCTGTGATGCCCAGGCTAAACTAACCTGCATTTATACCACAACTGCTGCAGTTACACAAGAGGGGAATCTATCAATATATATATTTTCCCTTTGTTTATTCAAGGGATTTGGGCATCATTGGATAGGTCAACGTATATTTCTGCATCCCAAATTGCCAGAGGGCAGTTGAGGGCCAAGCGCATTGATTGGGCCTGGAGTCACATGTAGACCAGACCAGGTAAGAATGGCAAATTTCCTTCCCTAAACGACAATAGTGAATCTGATGGGTTTTTGCAACAGTTGATAATGGTTTCATGGTTATCATTAGACTTCTAATTTCAGATTTTCCTTGAATTCAAATTTTACCATCTGCCATCGGTGGGATTAGAACTACATCCCCAGAACATTGGTTTGGGTGCTGGAGTACCAGTCTTGTGACATTGCCACTATGCTACCACCTCACAGTACTCACTGGGGGCCTGTGACACAATTTTAATGTAACATTCTGATGAAAATCCTCCAGTGAGTGGATCCAGCCAGAAGAAACCCAGAAAACAAAGACATTTTTAATGCTTTATGTTTACTTGCAGACCAGGAGGAATGAGGTGGAACGAAAGTGAGCTTAAGCGTTCTTAATCCTGCTGCCAGAACGCGCACAGAACCCCACAGCACAAGATTCCAGGAACACAATTTTCACTCCCACGACCCAGTGGAGATAGGGCAGATCTGCATTTTCTGGGCTCTATACTGTTCTCATCTGCTGCCAATTTGGTTGGGGTCTCTGGAGGGCCTGTTTCAGGGAGGAGCTTCTATATAATTTGCAACTTGGAAAAGGATCCCTGATCCCCAATTTTGAGGCATCAATGAATTGAGCATGAAACTGTTTGATCTACCCACTGATTACTCAAAATTGTGCCATTTTCAGGGCATTAGCATGTAGCATTTACTTGAATTATTCTTCCTTTGGTGAACTCCTCATTACAAGAGAATGTTTAATGTCTAAACATTTTAAACTCCCATTCACGACAAGATGATTAGTTCTTAGGATGCCTTAAGTTGCAACTGCAAAGTTCAGAGGAACAGACCACATCATTAAATATTTTGCAGTACAATTTCTGCAGGCCCCCACAATATCTATGTATAAGATGGTCGGGAATCCAGAGGAAACAATGCAGACAGATGTTTATGACAGTTCTGTGAGGTTTCTGCTCAAGTTATGCCATTTGGAAAATCCATGTGGAGAATATATCCCATTTTTCTTAGTCTTGTTTTTCAATTTATGTTTGATATTCAGTAGCATTATCACTGCTGAATCCTTC